CTTGGGAAGATGGACTCAAATACTCTGCCACAGGCTGTATAATATGACTTCTTCACAAATGAAATGAAAAACAAGACTACAGCAATATTAGATTTGGTGAAACAATACACAACACAGTTGGTTTTGTATCAATACATATCATGTCCCTCTTTTCAACTACATTGTTCACACTACGTCATACACAGAAACTGACCTTGAACTACCTTTTATAAACATTTATGGAAAAGTCCATAATAAAATGTCTCATATGACATATCTTTGGCAATAATAACACGTCCACCACACATTAACCACTCTAAACATGCATCAAGTTTCATGAATAGCACTAATCTGAAATTCAAGTGACAGCTGACTTCATTGATGTGATTTTATATCCAAATAGTGACAGCCGAAATACAAAAGCTATTTCAAAACAGTGCTTCAAACTTCATCAATGAACAACCATGACTACAGGCATTGGAACTTCTGCCAATCAGGAGACAGATGCCTTCATTTACAGTCACACACTTTCAAACAAATCAGCACACAGGGAAAAACGTAAAATTGATTAAGCTTTGATCCGATAAGGATTCCTATTGACAGGAATTAAGGAACATTAAAGATCCAGTCAATCAGGTGTCTGATTAATGGCTTTCTAAGCACAGGGACAAAAGTTCCAGACAATTCTAGTTCCGTTTTATTGAAAAATATAATTAAAACAGCAATATGTTCTGAAAAAAACACTACTTTTAGAAAATTTAAAGGTGACAGCTTGGCTGCCATATTTGGTTGTTGGTTTGTTTGTTTTTTAACGCCCCACTCAGCAATATTCCAGCTATATGCATGGGTCTGTAAATAATCGAGTCTGGACCAGACAATCCAGTGATTGATATCATGAGCATCAATCCACGCAATTGGGATCGATGACATGCATCAACCATGTCAGCGAGTCGGACCACCTGATCCCTTTGGTTGCCTCTTACGACAAGCATAGTCGCCTTTTACAGCAAGCATGGATCGGCTGCCATATTTAATTTCAGATGTTGATGTAATGAGTAGACTCACTCAGCGTCACTCACTCACTCACACAGCGTCACTCACTCACTCACACAGCGTCACTCACTCACTCACTCAGCATCACTCACACAGCATCACTCACTCACTCAGCGTCACTCACTCACTCAGCGTCACTCACTCACTCACTCAGCGTCACTCACTCAATTTCAGATGTTGATGTAATGAGTAGACTCAGAAACACATACAGCAAGTTCAGCTCAACCATCATGAAACTCACTCACACAGCGTCACTCACTCACTCACACAGCGTCACTCACTCACTCACTCAGCATCACTCACACAGCATCACTCACTCAACTTCAGATGTTGATGTAATGAGTAGACTCAGAAACACATACAGCAAGTTCAGCTCAACCATCATGAAACTACAATATTTTTCCAAAGGATGATGTTGTTCAACAGCAAAATATGAAAACAGGGACACAACCTGGCACGTTGGATCAGGTGAGCTAACCAAGCGTGTCCGAAAAGTAAAACACTGACCCATGGCACAGTAGCTCACCTGGAAATATAGTCAAGAGTGTGAAATGTCAAAAAAGACAGCAACTCAACAACAGTTCATGTCAGTATAGATATTCAAATATGTTCTGCATGACACCTGAGGACTAAAAACTAACACTTAAATATATAGATTTAAATGATATATGGCATAGCAGCCACATTGAAAATCATATTTAACCTATTAAACAATTCAGGTGTAATTATTGGTGGGAACAACCATGTGAAGTGTCAGCTATGTTGGTCCAGTTGTGACAGGAGAAGAGGTTTACAGGTGAAGCTGACAAGCAGGCCATGATATCAGCTCACTTCACTTTATCCTAACAAGGGTACACCATGTAGTAAAGTCCATTTTGGTGTCCCCCGCAGTTATATTGCCAGAATATCATAAAACCACTCACTCACTCAGCTTCACTCACTCACTCACTCAGCTTCACTCACTCACTCAGCTTTACTCACTCACACAGCTTCACTCACTCACTCACTCACTCAGCTTCACTCAATCACTCACTCACTCAGCTTCACTCTCACTCGGCTTCACTCACTCACTTAGCTTCACTCACTCAGCTTCACTCACTCACTCACTCAGCTTCACTCACTCACTCACTCACTCAGCTTCACTAACTCAATCAGCTTCACTCACTCACTCACACAGCATCGCTCACTCAGCTTCTCTCACTCAACCAGCGTTACTCACTCAGCCAGCGTTACTCACTCAGCCAGCGTTACTTACTCACTCAGCGTCACTCACTAACTCAGCGTCACTCACACACTCACACAGCGTCACTCACTCACTCACACAGCGTCACTCACTCACTCACTCAGCATCACTCACTCACTCAAACAGCGTCACTCACTCACTCACTCAGCGTCACTCACACAGCATCACTCACTCACTCAGCGTCACTCACTCACTCAGCGTCACTCACTCACTCACTCAGCGTCACTCACTCACTCACACAGCGTCACTCACTCACTCACACAGCGTCACTCACTCAGCTTCTATCACTCAGCCATCGTTACTCACTCACTCAGCGTCACTCACTCACACAGCGTCACTCACTCACTCACACAGCGTCACTCACTCACTCAATCAGCATCACTCACTCACTGACTCAGCATCACTCACTCACTCACACAGCGTCACTCACTCACTCAGCATCACTCACTCACTCACACAGTGTCACTCACTCAGCTTCTCACTCAGCCAGCGTTACTCACTCAGCCAGCGTCACTCACTCACTCAGCGTCACTCACTCACTCAGCGTCACTCACTCACTGACTCAGCGTCACTCACTCACTCACACAGCGTCACTCACTCACTCAACGTGACTCACTCACTCACTCAGCTTCACTCACTCACTCACACAGCGTCACTCACTCACACAGCGTCACTCATTCAGCTTCTCTCACTCACTCAGCTTCACTTCAAGTCAGGTGAGCTAAGATCTGTTTGGGTATTGGAGCCAAACTGAGATTGACACAGCCACTCAAAGGGAGATAACTGTAAACAAACCATAAACCTGCTATTCATCACAGAGCTATTCTTTTATTGTCAGACCAACGCCTTGCATGGGAAATCTCACTGTAATGGATCTCTCAATATCACCATGATCTCCACTTTTGACTTTATTTTTCAAATGTAATAAAATGATTTCAATGAATCCTAACTTAACTTGATGTTGCTTTTGACAGTGAATGTTTGCAAAGAAGTGTTTAGTTAAATTCATTTTGAAGCATCACATAGCAGTTAATGCCTGCTTAATGACGACACTTTGATTCTTTGATAAGAACATTAGTGTCATATATTGCAAGGAATATTCAATTTCACACTGTTTAATCACAACTGCTGATCACAAGGATTTTTCTATTTCATGTCCAAATTCTTTTTTTCAACATGTTCAAAAGAGACAATGCTGTAATCAATAAACTTCAAACAAAAGCCTCAAGAAGAGGTACATAAAGTGAGTCCGAGGCTTTGAGAAAACTGTTTTCCTCAAAGCAATCTACCATATCAACCAACAGTCACTTTGTGAGTCAGTGACATCTGCACACGTGCTCCACACTTATGCACCACTTTTTAATTGTCACCTAAACTGAATATCTTGATTTTTTTTTCTTGTTTCAAAATATCAATTTGTATGGAATCAAAATCAATATCTCCCACTCTAGTTCTCAAGTAAAGTTCTGCCAGGTGCAGCTGAATGGAGACTGTTGATAAACAAAATTTCAAATACTAACTTAAAGCTGTTGTTCTATATAATTTCTACTCAAAGTGTGAGTATTGTTTTTCTCCACTTTATTAATATTCCAGAATACAGCAGAAACATGCTTCACACATTGTACCTATGTGGGAAATCGAATCCGGATCTTGGGTGTTTACTCAAGTGAAGTTAGAGAACACCTGATGACTTCATATGACTATGGTTAATCTGTAATGGCTAGTGGGTATTGCAACACACAGCCTTCCAAATTGAGGATGTTCTTTAACTATTGTTATAGTAATATGCACACGCACACGCACACGCACACGCACACGCACACGCACACTCACACGCACACGCACACGCACACACACGCAGCACAGGCATATAATAAATGCATACAATAAATGCATGTCTTAATAATCAGATTTCCTATGATCTGAGACTAATTGTCTGCTCTAAAGAACACATAGCCTGTAGACTGACTGTTATGTAAGCTCACATCATACCTCACTTCCTTTGGCCTCTGTGAGGAGCCAAGCACACAGCCGAGGTCTGCGATGGGGTCAGACAGTCAAGATATGACCCTACATCACAGCTGAGTTGGTTGGTTGGTTTGTTGTTTAACGCCGCACTCAGCAATATTCCAGCTATATGACGGCGGTCTGTAAATAATCAAGTCTGGACCAAACAATCCAGTGATTAATATCATGAGCATCGATCCACATAATTGGATTGATGACATGCATTAACCAAGTCAGCAAGCCTGACCACCCAATCCCGTTAGTCGCCTCTTACGACAAGCTTAGTTGCCTTTTTCGGCAAGCATGGGTTGCTGAAGTCCTATTCTACCCCGGATCTTCACGGGTCACATCACAGCTGAGAACACCACCTTCATAATTATGTGGTGGCCAATTACACCAAATGATTTCTGGAGATTTAAAAAAAAATTCTGTTTTATGACTGAACAGTGCATAAAGATATAGATATTTCCCTTTTGATAAACGTCGTCTATTCAATACGAAACTGTAAGTTCAGTCAAGGCTTGACTGTCAGACCCCATCACTGCCTTCAGGTAGCCAGTGCCAAAATGTTGATCTGGTGGACAGTATGGTGACCTCACTGACAGTATATCGTCAATCACTATCTTATCCATTTTAAAATACATGTTCTGCAAATAAATGTGTGGTCCTAAGATGACGCCTAGTGCCCTGCGTCAATCAACAAATCTTCCTATCTCACCTTATGAGGATCCATGACGACAGTGTGGAATGTATTAGACGAGACTTCGACAACGCATACACTGGTCTCAGTTTTATCACAGGTAGAGGGGGCATAGGTCAGTGACCGCAGAGACCGGCCGGCATGACCACGGGTGAAGTTCAGGATAAAGGAGGCTGAAACACAAAAACAGAAATGGAAACAAGGCTCAAAAGAAAAACACCTAAATCATTTTCTATTGTCTGGGTTAATAAGTCATTGCTTTCATGAATACTGCATGATTACTGCATGAATCAGTGGAAAACCTCCTGTGACAACGTCTCATTCCTGCTTGTCGACCAAAACTAACAAATTCTGACACTGGTATAACATAATGTGCCACAAGCTTAGGGCTACAGTCCCTATACCAGTGGTCTGAAAATCTCGTCTCACACAACCTAGGATCTCAAAGTCTACAGTCAACCAATGAGGAGTCCGAAAGTCTACAGTCCAACAGTGAGGGGTGTGAAAATCTACAGTCCTACAGTGAGGGGTCTGAAAGTCTACAGTCCAACAGTGAGGGGTCTGAAAATCTACAGTCCTACAGTGAGGGGTCTGAAAGTCTACAGTCCAACAGTGAGGGGTCTGAAAATCTACAGTCCTACAGTGAGGGGTCTGAAAGTCTACAGTCCCACAGTGAGGGGTCTGAAAGTCTACAGTCCCACAGTGAGGAATCTGAAAATCTACAGTCCTACAGTGAGGGGTCTGAAAGTCTACAGTCCAACAGTGAGGGGTCTGAAAGTCTACAGTCCCACAGTGAGGGGTGTGAAAGTCTACAGTCCTACAGTGAGGGGTCTGAAAGTCTACAGTCCCACAGTGAGGGGTCTGAAAGTCTACAGTCCCACAGTGAGGGGTGTGAAAGTCTACAGTCCCACAGTGAGGGGTGTGAAAGTCTACAGTCCTACAGTGAGGGATCTAAAAGTCTACAGTCCTACAGTGAGGGGTCTGAAAGTCTACAGTCCTACAGTGAGGGGTCTGAAAGTCTACAGTCCAACAGTGAGGGGTCTGAAAGTCTACAGTCCCACAGTGAGGGGTGTGAAAGTCTACAGTCCTACAGTGAGGGATCTAAAAGTCTACAGTCCTACAGTGAGGGGTCTGAAAGTCTACAGTCCTACAGTGAGGGGTCTGAAAGTCTAGTCCTACAGTGAGGGGTCTGAAAGTCTACAGTCCCACAGTGAGGGGTCTAAAAGTCTACAGTCCTACAGTGAGGGATCTAAAAGTCTACAGTCCTACAGTGAGGGGTGTGAAAGTCTACAGTCCTACAGTGAGGGGGCTGAAAGTCTACAGTCCCACAGTGAGGAATCTGAAAGTCTACAGTCCTACACTGAGGGGGCTGAAAGTCTACAGTCCCACAGTGAGGAATCTGAAAGTCTACAGTCCTACAGTTTAGAATCTGGAAGTCTACAGTCCTACAGTGAGGGGTCTGAAAGTCTACAGTCCTAGAGTCTAATCTGGTATTCCTTGTTCCAACCCATTCAGTGGTCAACAATTTTCTTTGGATTCACCACACATTGTGTTCAGGACATCCTGCATGGCCACACATTGTGTTCAGGACATCCTGCATGTCCACACATTGTGTTCAGGACATCCTGTATGTCCACACATTGTGTTCAGGACATCCTGCATGTCCACACATTGTGTTCAGGACATCCTGCATGGCCACACATTGTGTTCAGGACATCCTGCATGTCCACACATTGTGTTCAGGACATCCTGTATGTCCACACATTGTGTTCAGGACATCCTGCATGTCCACACATTGTGTTCAGGACATCCTGCATGTCCACACATTGTGTTCAGGACATCCTGCATGGCCACACATTGTGTTCAGGACATCCTGCATGTCCACACATTGTGTTCAGGACATCCTGCATGTCCACACATTGTGTTCAGGACATCCTGCATGGCCACACATTGTGTTCAGGACATCCTGCATGTCCAGTGAACATTCTTTGGGCAGTCAAACCTGAGCACAGTGTCAATGGACATTCATTATGTGCTGCCTCTCCTTATGATACTGTTTTGCTGGGGTCAGCTTTTTTTCACCATAGCATGGGAATATCAAGCTCAATCAATGATCATGTTTTGTTTGTTTGTTGTTTAACGCCGCACTCAGCAATATTCCAGTTAAATGCCTTTGGTCTGTAAATAATCTTGTCTGGACCAGACAACTCAGTACATGACATTATGAGCATCAGTCTTTGCAACAAGGATATAATGACATGCATCAACCACCCGATCCTGTTAGTAGCCTTTTATGACAAGCATGGGGGGGCTGAAGACCAATGTTTTCATCAATTGAACACAGTGGGTATCATGAAAGGCCTCTCAAGTAGTCTTGTTATGGCTAATGTGTATACATAAATTGAGAGGAGTACATTTTCCTCACATTAGATTAGGTCCTCAGATTAGGTCAGGAACTGAACTGAAGAATCTGGTTAAGATACAATTTGAATTTAGGCAAAAACTTGTAAAGACTCCATTCCCATAACATTTGGGAAAACTCTTTGGGCAAGTCTTGATTTAAGCTCATGCCTTGAAATCCTTAAACAGTCAATAAATTAATGTGTTAAAAAAACATACTGTCCAACACTGTATCTCTGGACTTAAAACCTTGAAGAGAGGGCCTTGAATTTTTTAACATTATTTCCAATTCTTATCTTCACTTTGTACAGTCATTCAATTACTGGTACTTGGAAATAATAAAACCAAATGTGAACTCAATATTAAATCATAAACAGTTTCAGTTTGTAGCCAGAAGAAATAATTCAAAGTGGGATGATATGCTTAAGGGGAAATAACTCCTGTCAAAAAATTCCGACAAAGCTCATCTCTCGATGTGTAGTTTCAGGCAATGGTTAAGGGGCAATAACTCAGGACTACACTTCACGACAAGGCTCCTGTTACTTTCTAAAATGACTTGAATAAGAAAAATATATTTGCCAACAACTCACCAACATTTTTGGCTGTAAAATTTTCTTTGAGCAAGTACTGTTCTTCATTCTATAAGTAAAACATATGTTAACTGTTGCTGGCAAATTCCAAACCAAAACAACACATCATGCACAAAACACATATTTCAAATTCTATTCCAAATAAATTGTACAAAACAAAAATCTGCTGGAATGTTTCTCCTTGTCATTTAAATTTATGCACCTTCACTTTGGAACTGTTGAAAATATGAATGATTGTCTCAACAGCAAGTACTGTCGCTCTAACATTGGAAGAGATTAGCCAGAGAAACTGTCTGTAGCAGAGATGCTGAAAACTAACCGTAACATACCCACAACATGTATAGAAACTGCAATTGACTGGAATAATATTAATTGTATTAAGCACTGAAAGAATTTCTGCCTCATATTCTACACTTGGACTTATCTAGGATTCCAAACTAAGCACCCTTGGCAGGCAATTTGGGATTAAACCATTATTTCATTTAATAATAATAATAATAATGATGATGATAATGATCATCATCATCATCATCATAATAATAATAATAATATGTTTCATACTTACTTCCTTATCAAAAATAACAACCGCTGGATTCTGTGGTAAGGTTGACACATCCACACCAAGCCTCTCAGCAAACACAGAGTGCCGCACAGCATCCATTGCATAGAAGTTCACAGTCCGGTTACTACGACAACCCAAACCCGTAAAATTGACTGGAAGGGACTCTTCAAAGTTATAACTATTTTCATAAGGCACATGGCCCTGTAATTTCTGTAAAGTCAACCTTTTACACAACCGTTTTGGCTTATTTTCAATTTCTTGCCACACATACCTATCAGTCACTCTACGCTTCCCTGATCTGAAAGACATGGGTAAAAAGTCTGACTGGAGGACAGGCACTATGGAGGCAGTATCATCACCACACCACTGACAACACAGACTATGATATTCATTAACATTATAATTCTCTATAGAGTTCCTACAGAAGTTGGTATGCAGCATAGTCCACTCCTCTACTTGAGGGTCAATGTCTAAACTGGAACACCCCGGCCCCATCTGTCTCGGTCGGTGGACACAGTATTCGCAGACATTGTGTGCCTTGCTGGACATCTCCTCCAGGGTTTTGGAAGCAAGGGAGACACAGCATTTGAAGTCGTAGAGTCCTACGTTACGTTGCTTGCGGTAGTTTGCACAGAACTCGACGACCTGGTGGTACTGGACCTGGGCGGACCTGACCTGGCTCCTCCAGTGTGAGATGGCATCCTCTAGGTTGTGGATCTCCTCACAGCTGTGGTACTGCAGCGCCAGGTCCTTCATCTGGAAACGAGGGACGAGCTGTGGGAGTGGGATTCACAGACACACGCACTGGTTCACCTTCACTGGGGATCCACAGGACCCAATAGTTATTTTAAGGGTACTGTAGTGTACGTTTTGATGATTACTTTAATTTCAGGACCCTTCAATTTCTTGTCAAGAACGCAACATATTCATTTTTCTGCATCCATTCAATATATTTCAACATTCTGGGTGCACATATTTGCGTCACGTAAAACCCTGAACACGTTTCCAGACAAGTCTCATTACTTAGTCAACTTTCTTTGTTCAGTTTGTTACATGTACCGTGGCTGTGCACAGTAAACGTTGAGGTGGGATACCGAGGTCCTTGTTAGGCCCACTGGATATTTATGTTTCTTAACTATCGACTTTGAAATAATGGTGGGTTGGTGGGTGAGTTGGGTTTAAAGCCGCTTTTAACAGTATTACAGTTATATCACAGTGTGTCAGCTTAATGTGGGAGGAAAGCCCGAAGTGATGCAGGTCTCAGACGTTTACCACTTCGGTGAAACCAACGAGCACGGGTATGGTGCTGACAAACCTAGAAACATAATCGGGGCGAACCGGGATTCGAACCCACAATCATAGGTTTCTGGCGTGCCCAAGGGACGCAACTCTGCACAGCGAATCGTGGTGCCTTAGACGACTGGGCCACCCGTGCCCCCTTGAAATAATGGAATGAAACATCTCAGACATGTACAAATTGCTGACAAACCATGATCAAATGCATGAGTTTGGCAAAAACGAGTGAAAAAGGCAGATTTTTCTTCAAGAGTAGCTGTAAAGGGTGGTAAAATGAACAAAGTCTAGTTATCATTCATATGAGCAAGCTGATAAGTTATATATTTCTCAATTTCTAAAACATTTTGCTCAATTGATAACTTTTACAGAACCTGTGGCCAATCATTGCCCTCATAGTACCACCACTGTTGTTCAACAACCTGCATGTCTGCAGCATGAGGGCTAAGTATGCAAAGACAAATCTCATCATTCAATATAATGAGGCATTCTTTCTTTCATGGTACATCTCTTGTATTGAGATCTCACCATCATGATACTTATTGCATCATGAATTTGTGTATCCTTCCAAGTGAACTGGGGTTTCATGTTATTCTAAAGTACAGGATAAATCACGACTCCATTTTCTTGTTTGAAAATGTAAAACCGCGAGCGAGCTCAAGGTTTTACATTTTCAACTAAAACCAAAGTTCAGTGTTTTATCCAAAAATACCAGAAAAAAATTGACATACCTTATAGTGAAACAATACAATGTATCGCAGTATAAAAGGAATTCGCTCAAAACGTGCGAGAGAAAAAACATGTGCAGCATGGACTAGCTGGAGTCATGACATGCTAAACGGAACAACTTCTCATCGCCTCCCCCGGTAGCTCAGTGGGAAAACAGTGGGTTACAAAGCTTAACACGATATGTGAGGTTGCAGGTTCAATTCATGTTACGGAATTTTCATGTTAAAAAAAGAATTTGACCTTTAACCAATAACCAAACACAATTATGTTCACTTCAAGAGGCAAGTTTATAAAATGTTAATTGTAAAACCTAGGTTGAAATTGAAATGTATTTATCAGGTCCTGGGCATTCCACCGACATCAACATTCGTCAACGTACATTGTACTCCATGAGGAATCAAACACAGGCTTTCGGAATGATGAGAGGACACATTGACCACTAGGCTACCCACTGCCCCTGTCAGTACCGGAATCCCAATGAGTTAGCAATGTACACACAAGGGAAAAGTTGATTATCAATAAGTTGTCCCCACATTATAAATGTTGTGACATTAAATCAAATCAGTCTCTCTGCCCACCATCACCCCGAGTGTCTACAAAGGAATCATCACAAAGTATCTAAATAAGTTATAGTCTACTTACCACATGATATGGTTGGTTGGTGTCAAACAAGGGATTGAGGGCATAGAAGGCAATCACGGCTGGCCCCTGAGCCATCTCCTTTGACAATATCAAACTCTTCACTCCCAAAGGTGCCAGAGACCTTACCATAGGCTGAAAACAAATCAATAATTCATTCACATGAATGTGTATCTTTGTTTTTTGTTCACCAACCTGGTCTCTGTGTGTTTCACGTGTCATGAAAGAATACCTATCAGTTTAAGAGATGACGCTCATTCAACCAAGTCACTGAGTCTGACCACCCAATCCATTCAGGCGCCCGATTGGTTTTATTTTGTTCACCCTATGCTGTCTATGTCGAGCTATAAATAACTATCCTGAACACAATCTGAACCTAATGTACAAGAGTCATCAGGACATATTCCTTCCTCCCACCCGGCCCAAGTCTGATGCAGTTCGGAAATGGAGTTTGGCTACTTATGCCCCACTTTTGGTTCATTGCATTTGGATACCTTCAGGTCAGGGAAGAAAATAATAATCCTGTTCTGTATTTTTCAACATCCTAGATCATCAAAAGGTGCCAGTTCACCACTAGACTGTTCTGTATAGCATGTTCTGCTCCAGAAAACGAACACTACCATCATTTTGCAGTAAAGTGTCGTCATGAAAACAAAAAGACAATAAAATAAAAATCCCTAATCATCAAAAGGCACCAGTTCTCAACTAGACTGATCTGTATAGCAAGTTTCATCTAAACATATTCAACTGTTTTGGATTTTTGCTCCAGAAAACAAGCACTACCCTCATTTTCAGTGAAGTCCAACTTGTCATCATGGAAAATAAAATACAGATCCCATCATCAAAAGGCACCAGTTCACCTCTAGACTAATCTGAATAGCAAGTTTCAAAATGGGGGATAAAACTGGAAATGGAACAGAACATGATCTTGCACATTCTCCAATCAACTATTTATGCTTCTTACACTGTGTAGAGAATACTCACCATTGACCTTTCCTTGAAATGAATAAAAAATATAATACCTCCTTCCTCACAGGATAAAATGGATGATAATCTCATTATTTATCATATATATCTTACAAACCTATCATAATTATCCAAAAAAAACTTCAAAAAAGGCAATTTGATCATTACAGCAGAGTGTGATCAAGGTGTTGTAAGCAGTTGACAGGAACATACTTTTTGTCGATGTTGAAGACTCCAGGTCACAAGCTGGGAGCTGGTCAAGTTAAATTCTCGAGGATATTTCTGAAAATTAAACATTTCTATAATTATTTTATGTACACTAAAAGGAAAGTAATATAAGAGACAACATATCATTATGATCATATCATAAACATTATTGGTCTCCATTAATGAACAGAGGTAAAAAATCAACTTTGCCATGATGTTTTTCTGAAAGACAAGCATGAGTTTCAAACCACCCTCAATGGTTTGTTTATTTATGAAAGATCAGTTATTCCTCATGAAAGAAAACAAAAATAACAAATGAACATTCTGTATTCTGGTTTTGGCAAGGGTACATTTATGTATACAGAACGTACCTTGGGTACATATCTATAGAGCCTTCAGCGTCACTGATACACCTCAATATATTGTTTTGTTTGTTTATTGCCGCACTCAGCAATATTCCAGTTATATGACCACAGATTAGTAACTAATTCAGATTGGACCAGACAAATCAGTGATAGATATAATGAGCAATGATCTATGCTGCTGGGGTATGTTGACACGGCATCAGCCAAGTCACAGTCTGACACAACCTATTTAGTTGCCTTGTACAAGCATAGGACCAACTGTAACCTAGAATCCAACAGGCTGCTCACATATTGGTGACAGGCATTATGTACTACTCCAAGGAAGTGAGTGAGTGAGTGAGTTGGGTTTAACGCTGCTTTTAGCAGTATTCCAGTTATATCATGGCGTGTTAGCTTAATGTGGGAGGAAAGCCCGAAGTGATGCAGGTCTCAGACGTTTACCACTAAGGTGAAACCCACGAGCACAGGTATGGTGCTGACAAACCTAGAAACATAATCAGGGCGAACCAGGATTCGAACCCACAATCATAGGTTTCTGGCGTGCCCAAGGGACGCAACTCTGCACAGCGAATCACGGCTCCTTAGACGACTGGGCCACCCGTGCCCCCCCAAGGAAGTGAAAGATACCCGAACTTTCATGTTCCTCTAGTTAATCTGTCACGGCATGCCATGTAGTAGTGGGACGATATACTGATGCAACACGATTTAGTACTTCTTGATACAAGTATCAATCACAGTCCGCACACTAAGTGAAAAAATATTACTTTTAATGTTTGCCTTAATAACTGATACACCAAACACTCAATAGAAGTGAAAATAAGTAGTGAAATATGTAAATATTTTCATCCATTGTGCCATAGTTGCCACTTCCAACTGTAAATTGTCAGTGTGCTAGGTATTTGGCCATCCCGTCTATGAAAAAGATGGCTTTCAGACCATGGGTTAAGAACACATGTAAGTATCATGATATGTTTCGGATCGTGCATCTTCCTGAGGCAAGGGAGTTAACTCACTATAAAAGTTCCGTTTCCTCCCTTGCCGAACTAGGCTGAAATTTCTGGGCTCAATCGAAGCGCCACCAGTGGCTATTATTATGAGTTATGTCCCTTCTATGCCCCTCCTATTGACCAATCAGCTTCCACCTCTCATGTTATTTGCATTTGCTTCAAACAAAATGGCCACGGAAGGTGAAGACGATCAGATCGAATATCAAGATCTATGTTGTAACAAAACGCGTCTCTTGAAGTGCATCAAATCATGTGAGCACCTTGATTAAAAACATGAAAAGATTTGAAAAATATCTGTTTACGCTAATTGATGGTACTGGTACAAATGTTTAGCAAATCTGCACAGCAGTTTACAGACAGGATGTTGATTCTTTAACTTCTTTTGAGTAGTATACAAGACTCTGTCTTGTCCCTGATCGCTGTCAGGCATGTTACAGTCCTCACCAGTGTGGAGTTGGCAACACGCAGTAACATCACATCGTTACTTTGTGTCAAGTTGTAGGACTCCGCCAAAGACTTCCCCGGGAAGATGCAGAATTTGATCTGGTTGTAGGGATCTAATTACAGAAACAGTCATTGACAAACATTATCACTGCATTGATAAATGTAAGTTATCAAACAACTTAATCACAGAAATAAATGAGCTAGGAGCCTGCTACACCAAATTCAGTAAAATGCCATTATTTTGTGGCTAGTGAGGACAGACAACTGATTCTAGCCTTCAGTCTATCAAGATTCTTAACTTTGTATGTGTTCAAATCTATTATAGCTAAAATGGATAGAATTATCATTAAACCCGCCTGTTATCAAAAATGAGCGGGCCACTGTAACTTGATAATGCCCTCACATTGTTTGATGACGGGCCATTATCACAACCGTTGTTAGGTGACATCATAGGATAGGGATAGGTGATGTCACGTTGTTGTTTGTTTTTATTTGATACCAAATTCCATCCATTTTAGCTATAATAACGGTAACGCTATTTTTCAGGGCATTATCATTTGCATATTTGTTACCCTAATAGCATGTAACTAAACTATGGCTAATTGGTGAGAGTGACTACCAGTCCTGGCATAGGACTTAATATATTCAATGCCAGCCCCTAGGAAGGCCAAGACTATCAGTAAATCACTGTGTATATTCAATGGTAGCCCCTAGGAAGGCCAAGACTATCAGTAAATCACTGTGTATATTCAATGCCAGCCCCTAGGAAGGCCTACCTTGTTCAAGCATCCTCATGGAGGCGAAATAGAACTGTTGGTAGCCTGGTGGTTGCGGGGATGCGTTGAGGTCAAAGTAGCCCACCACAGCACTCTGGAACATGGAACATGAAGACATGAGAGTTAAGACAAATTGCTGGATAAAATAAAACGCCAGAAAGTCATTTGAGAGAATAAAAAACTATTGACAAAAATCATTAAATTAGATCTTCATTTGAAGAAAGTAACGATTTGGGGATTCCGGATCAGAATGGGTCCCCAGTACATGATGCTCATCGCCATGTGTGAATTCCAGGGCTTTACTTGACACAGAATGTGCCCCCATTACGCACAAATGTATGGAATGAACATAGAAAAATATATATATATTGCATCGCGAGGGACGTAAATAATATTCATTGTACCAAAATTCTTGACATGAAATATAAAGTTCCTGTAATTAAAGCAATTATTAGCACTGACAGTACCTTACACTACAGTATCTCATTACTTTACAGGACCATCATATATGGACCTTTGAAATAAGTAAGTGGGGGTCCTCTGGACAATAACATTCATTGTACCAAAATTCTTGACAAGAAATATAAAGTTCCTGTAATTAAAGCAATTATTAGATCTGAAAATACAGTACACTACATTCTCATTACTTCACAGGACCATCCTTTTTCCTGTATGGCCCTTTGGAATTAGTAAGTGGGGGTCCTCTGGACCCCTAGTTTTGTAGGTCAAGGTAAGACCCTGGAATATGTCCTCAATATATCAAGCTTGTCTTAATGTGGGGATTCTGGGTCAGAATAATTCCCCAGTACCTCATGCCTATCCTATCATGTATCTAAAGCTGGATCAGGATCTGTGACTTGGCAAATTGTATGTCATAATGCCTTGACTTTGTTGCAGCTAGCCTTGATATGGCTCAAATGTTTAACAGTGACATTGAGCCCGCTCACTCAGTAGAAAAAATAAATGACAAAAGTCTTCTCCACAGTAGCACATGGAGCACAATTACCTCCATTTTGTACTGTTTGTTTGTCGCTTAAAACCACAATCAGCAATATTCTAGCTATACCACAGCGGCCTGGACCAGACAAACCAGTGATTGATACAAAGAGCAATGCCACAGGGGTATGACGCCATGCAATCAAAGGGCCTTTACAGTGGGACAGTCTTAGGAACATCATGTCGCATTTCAACTTACATCATGCCTGGCCACAAAGGCCTTCACCTGGTCATGAGAGTGGAAGGCTGTGATTGGATAGGTAAGGTCCTCCACAAACGTCACCATGTGCTCGGCCGCCATCTCACCTGGAATATGGTAAATGACATCATAAACAAAGGCGAATCAAATAACACATACTGATGGTAAATAAGTTTCAAGAATTTCAGGTTTCATGAAGAGGAGTGATATCTTCCTCCAGAGACCAACACAACATACATGCATGGGCATTTCATTCTCCATCTATCCCCATCTTTTAAAGTATCCTGTGCCTGTATAGAGAAAGAAATGTATTTCATTTCAAATGAGCCAGAGCATACCCAACAATGGTGGCATGAAATGGGGTTAAAGTCGTATTCAACATTATTGCACTTACATAGTGACATGCATGCACACGTGTTTGTGTGTGCTTATGTGTGAGTACGTGTGTGCATTTTGTGTGTTTGAGAATGTATGCATGCGAGAGCAAGTGTGTGATTGAGTGTGCATGCACATGTCTACTTATACTGTTCAAGACTAAATGCCACTTTAAAAGTGCTAGTCCACTGAGATACCATGCCGCAGTTTAACCATCTTCGCGAGGCAAGGAAGTTCACTGACTAGTCTAGTTTCCACTCTTGCCGAGTTAGGCTGGAATTTCTGGGCTTGATTGTAGCGCCACCAGTTGCTCTTACGAGTTATGTCCCTTCTATGACCATCCTATCCTGCTTCAAACAATTGGCGGCGCCCAGTCAGTCTTTTCCCACCTAAGTATCTGAACCCATCTAGATGTGTGTGATACACAAACAGTATCTTTTCCCACCTAAGTATCTGAACCCATCTAGATGTGTGTGATACACAAACAGTATCTTTTCCCACCTAAGTATCTGAACCCATCTAGATGTGTGTGATACACAAACAGTATCTTTTCCCACCTAAGTATCTGAACCCATCTAGATGTGTGTGATACACAAACAGTATCTTTTCCCACCTAAGTATCTGAACCCATCTAGATGTGTGTGATATACAAACAGTATCTTTTCCCACCTAAGTATCTGAACCCATCTAGATGTGTGTGATACACAAACAGTATCTTTTCCCACCTAAGTATCTGAACCCATCTAGATGTGTGTGATACACAAACAGCACGGGGAACATCAGGAACTTGTAGCGTTTCCGACACTGCCCATCCGGCCACCAGCAATTCACAGCCACAAACTTCACCTGCAATAAGATAAACACACTATACCAACTTATTCAGCGGTAGAAACAAACAGTTTTAATCCACTAGTCCTTATAATGATAACATATAGCAAAACCCTCAAAAAGAGCAAATTTCTACTAGTCCTCATGATACCTTTACTATTGGGCAGTTTGGCAAAGACTATAGGACTAGTGCCAATTACTACTGTTGAACATACATGTAGTAATGTATACAACTAACAAAACAAACCTCAAATGCAATTGAAAAAAAACTAAAAACTTTGCTGCTCAGAACATTCAAAGGGACATATATTTTTTATTTCAAGTCAATCAAGAATTATTGAATGAATATATGTATTTGTACATTATGTATGTTATATTTGCCACAAAAGATAATAGCAGCTCTGAATATGCTGAAATCGATTACTTATTTTCCGAGTTCCACAACTAGTTAATGACATGGTTATTGCCAGAAGTGAAACTTAGGCGGAGGTCTGGGGTACTATATGATTTACGTGTATATTGTAATTGCATGTATAACAAAAGTGATCCTTGACGTAAAATATTCTAAGGCCTAGTAGAATTTTAGGCCTTATAGTTTTAGGGGATGTTCTTATACATATTAAAGGTGAGGTGAGGTGAAATGGGGTTTAACGTCGTGTCCAAGATTATTGCACTTATATAGCGACGTGCATGCACGTGTGTGTGTGGCTGCTTGTATTAGTCCGGACTGATGCCGATTTATAGACTAGTGCTAGCTCACTGAGGTACCATGCCGCAGTTTAACATGAATACTATTTAAGTTTGTTTACTACATACAAGTATTGTGAAAAAAGGACCAAAAATGGAAAACAGTTGAGGAAAAACAGCAACATATTCAACGTGGCTCGGGTATCAAAGGAGCAAGTACTCATGTAAATGGTTATTTAGAAGATCAAAACCCACCACAGAGTCACCATTTTCACGCATTACGTACAATATCCACCAAGCAACATAAATTTAGTAAAAAAATCTTAAATTCAGAGATGCATTGGAAAAGTTATTTTTAATACTTATCGGCTCATATTTGGGAAGGATAGCAAAGGTACATGTTTCAGGTTTCCACAATCATAAACAGACATGCCGTTGCTTCTACCACCAATTAGGTAGAAGACAGGGCGCATCAAGGGAGGTAATTCGTCACGGTACAGCGTGAACTGAGGTGTGAACGAACTATTGTATCCAACGTCTTTAACTATGTCATCACTACTCTGGTGAGTGAAGCTCTCAGGTTAAGTGGCATCTGTGTCTTATTCCTGTCTTACATGTTATTTATGTCTATCTTCTCCATAAATACTGTTAATGTCAACGTGTATAATATCAGGAACAGAATATGTGGATGTCAACTTTATTATGAGAAAACACCATGTTTCGGAGTATATGCTTAGTCATTCATCAGGTGAATGAATATACTCCGAAACGTTGTGTTCCTCATAATAAAGAAGTTGACATCCACATATTCTCTTCCTTATGTGAATCACTTCTAAATGCCTTCCAAAGACCTAATATATAATATCACCACAATATTGTGTAGGTTATTTATGACATTAGATTCAATGACAATATTGGGTAAAGTATTAATAATGACAAAATAGACAACAAAGTCTCCACTGATGCAACTTTATAAGTTAATTGCACATTTGCAACACAAACTGTATCAAATACCCAGGTTTAATCGACAGGGTGAGCCATGCATGTCAAATTGGACAATGAAACCTCTTCTAATCAGCTGGATAGTGAAATGTTGAAAATCAATGAGAATAGTTCAGGTACCCATGCATTAGACTTAAGCAAAGTGGATGCAAGAAATAATTTATTTGAGTAATCATTTATTCATCAGACTCCAATCCCAGATAAAAGAATCAATTTCAGCATCCCACTGCATAAACCAGTCACTGTGTTTAAACTGTCAACTTCAGACCTCAAAAACACTTTAAGTGTAGTGGCAGCAATAAGGCCTCGTGGAATAGGTCCAATAATTATGAGTACATTTCTGTGGCTCCAAATTCAATACCTGCTGTCATGCTCATAGCGAGTCAATGGATCACTGTACTCTCAATTGTCATTCTCAGCTCCGTGGGGAGTACACAACCCAAGCTATTAGGCACTCGAAGGTCAAAAATCACTTTACCATCACGTCCTACCATGTACCCATTTGCTGTTGAGTGAGCTGAGGCATATTTCAAACAAAGCTACTTTCCTAAGGACAAAACCACATATAACATCTGTGTCAGTGCAGGGCCCTTGAAACTCTCTGGAGTAAGGCTTGCAGCTGCTCACCCATCCACCTACTCTCACCTGATTTGTGACACATGAGCTGTACACATGACCATGTACCACTTGGACACCCAAAAGGTATTCAAACAATAAAACTCTTATTCTTAGATCAATTAGTCCCCAAGAAGAAATAATAGAATCAGGACAAAGGAAGAGTGAGTTGGGTTTAACGCCGCTTTTAACAGTATTACAGTTATATCATGGCGTGTCAGCTTAATGTGGGAGGAAAGCCTGAAGTGATGCAGGTCTCAGAAGTTTACCACTTCAGTGAACCCCATGGTATGGTGCTGACAAACCTAGAAACATCATCGGAGCGAACTAGGATTCGAACCTACAATCATAGGTTTCTGGCATGCCCAAGGAACGCAACTCTACACAACAAATCGTGGCGCCTTAGACGATTCGGCCACCCGTGCCTCCTACAAACGAATATAATTTATGGATGTCAACTTCTTTATTATGAGGAACACAACGTTTTGGAGTATATGCTATCTCCTTCATTAGATGAATGAATGCTATGAGGCAGAGAGTATATATATGTAAAGGTAAGAACAACAAAAGTAATGATAACAAAAGACAATGGAAGCCAACACTCTACAGTAATTAGCATGTATAATGTATATCGCTTCTAATTGCCTTTCAAAGACAAGAATCAATTCTTTGAAATGTTTGATAGGCATTTCTTAGAAGTTGATGGATGACAAAGTGGACACAATTTATGGACAACAACTTCTTTATTTTACTGTAGTGAGTGAGTGAGTATGGTTTTACGCCGCTTTTAGCAATACTCCAGCAATATCACGGCGGGGGACACCAGAAATGGGCTTCACACATTGTACCCATGTCGGGAATCGAACCCGGGTCTTCGGCGTGACGAGAGAACGCTTTAACCACTAAGCTACCCGACCGCCCTTATTTTACTGTAATGATGACATTTCAGTAAAAATCCTCATACCGTTATTAAGCAAGTACAAGGGAATAAGGATCTATACCGGAACGTCGCCATTACAGTAAAATAAAGAGGTGTTTATCCATAAATTGTCTAAATAAGATTTACAAAATTTGCCATTACTTATACATCATGCACACATGCCATAGATGGTTCTTGACCTTAAGTCAAAGCATTATGTTCATCAATAAACGATATTTTACATGTTTTGTGTATCTAGTAAGGATCGCTGGAAACATGAAACTTCCAATACTGACACTGTACTGAAGCAGGACAGTACTGCGTTATCGTCTGCATTATGACCAAGGACTTGCCCTTGTTGAACTGCCATCACACTTCTTCCAATGGGGATCGACCATCACGTTTCACTGGTCTATTGTCTCTCTTTGATAAGCTAGCTGCAGCCGTTATCCTTCTTTCAGATACATTGTACTTAAATGCTGTCCATCTGATCCCCAACAGAACCCAGCCTGGGTCTGCTTATCTCTATAGTCAAAGTCATACCACAGTACTGAAGCCCATGTGTAACGGCAGGCTAATTCTCCAATCTTAGCAGTGTATGCGAGATAGTCAACGATCTGGTCCCCCTGCAACTTATCCTCAACATCCTTATCCTTGACATCAAAAGCACGCCGTTTCTGGGTTTCTCTTGTGGCAGCATCTGCACTATCAAAGTCGAATACACTCATCGTAACATTCAGCCTGTATGTGGAGCTTACTCACACGCAGCGCCCCTCAGCGATTTATGTATAGACCATGTAGACTTGTTCATTCGTTGCCATGATTAATTTTTTCCGTACCTCTCATTGCCATGATTAAATTTTGCCGCCACTGTATGCTTGCCAGCCACCGGATGTGGAAGTATGCTAAACTAAAAACCGGACAATCCTGTCCTAGGGGAGGTAACTCCTACCGTTTAAATTTTTTTCACTCTGGAAAAACACATTATGACCAAGGACCAGGAATACTTTCAGTGCTTAAACATTGCTATCAGTGCTATCATGTAGTAAAATATGCTTTAAGTGAACAGTTGTCTGAAACATAATTACTTAGGCTAGGTCTTTGAAAGGCATTTAGAAGTGATACACATCATCACACATTCTGATGAAGGAGGAAGCATATACTCCAAAAGGTGTTCCTCATAATAAAGACGTTGACATCCATATATTCTCTTCCTTACTTAGGCTAGCTTCGAATATTCGGGGATTTCTCAAGGATTCCAAACTTCGTGCCCTTGGCAGGCAAATTGGGTAAAAAATCTTGATATGTTCAAAATTGAATGTTTTTACTCAGTAATGTTCTTATTTTTGTACATTCTGAGGAACTGTGAAATTTCTAATTCAAATTGGGAATTGTTAGTACTATTTGCTGCAGAAATTACCAAAATGGTGAACACCTGTTGGAAAAAATCCTGACACGTACATGTCTCTGGGCAAAGATCACGATTTCCAGGTTACAAGCTGATCAAACACGATACAATACTACAAAAGGATCTCAGCCTTCTTGTTCCAGCTGTATTGTAGGATAGAACATGTTGGGAAGAATGTTGACCGATCATTGATTGTATCAAACATTGTATCAGGTCTTAACATGTTTATTATCCACATTTTTGTGTGAAAAACAATATTCTTACATTCGTTATCATGTCCGAAGTTTACAATTCATCAAACATGTTAAATTCCATTTGTTCACTTTCTTTAGTTTTCAAGTCATTTGATTAGGAAGTTTTCAAATTCGATCGTATTCACACAAACCCAAGGACAAATATCATCAACAAATCTTGTACATTTAAAGAAAATATATAAATAAAGCTGTGTCAGGAAACTTTAAAGTATATTGTATAATTAAATACTTATCCTATCTCACACTATGCATTTCTTCCTTCTTTTTTCAATCCTATGTGGAAACGTCCATGAACAAAGTTTCAGTTTCAAAAAAACAAATCCTGGGGACTTTCTGCCTAAGAATCCAATCGAGGAGAAGAATTTGGGAGAGAGGGAAAGGATTTGGGAGAGTGGGACTTGGTTGAAGAGAGGGGTCCTTACCTGTCCTTGCATGTGTTTTGCTGCCTTGTGGAACTCCCAGCGAGTGGCCATGGACCGAGAACACCATGGAGCATAGTACATGAGGAATATAAGCTCCTCCTTGGCAAGAAGACGGACCACCGGATCAAGTTCTCCATTAAAAAAATCATAAACTGGTGAGTTGTTTGGGAAAAATTTCTTTGGTGGTTTTGGTGGTACAGTGATAGGTTTCGGCCTCAAACTGAAAAGAAATGAACTGTTCACATCACACCCCAGCCTGTCTGGGTCTGCACAAAGTGTGTGTATGGGATCTTATATATCATTATGCATTGAAGTTTCAAACAACAAAGAGGGATCAATACACCAATCAGAATTATCATCTAAATGTTCAAGTTAATCCGCAAGGTGGAAAAAGAAGACAATGTCATTTTGTTTTGTTCCTACGCCTTGTGAATAATTTGAGAGCATCATGAGACTGATTAAAGGACAAACAACATCGCCTTTTGCACTTCACAGTACTTGTACAACATATCTCAGCAGTGGTTGTGGATGAAATTACCCCAGAAAGGCTCATCAGCCAAAACAGTGATAAGAACACCTGCTTGGCCTGAAATTCTACCAGTGCAAATTTGTATCCCAGTGACAGATCCAGATTAATATCATCAAAGTCAGTACTTTTCGCAAGGCCGCAGTTAACATTTTTTGACAGGGGGGGTGCAAATATTTGTACAAGTATCACTTGTCCCCAACTCGATTCAAATAAAACTGTTTTCTATAAAAAATCTAGGGGGGCAACTGCCCCCCCCCTGCCCCCCGGCTGGCTACGGGACTGTTTTGTGATATTCAATCTTTAGGAATTTTAAAACAGTAATGCTAGTCATAAAAAAGAAATAGCTTCAAAATTTGCTATGTAATCTGACCTAAATACAAGGCCAAAGAAGGCTAAGAATCACATTAAGCTTAATAAATGTATAATGTTTACTATCTGATAACTGAGAACACCCCTAATCAATTCTTCTGTAAGACGTTGCATAAATGGAAACCGCACACCAATGGCATCATTCAAATATTATTGAACAGCTGTCAAGGTATTGCACTTGATGCCACACATGAAACATCACTCGACATTCAAGAAGTGAGCTCTCTTTGAATAAACTTTCAAAACATAAACACGTGAGTTTATCATGCGTGACAGGCACATAGATAATCGATCATGTATAAAATCTACCTGCTCCCATATCGTGAAATGATGGTCAGCGACAAGCCAATAACAATCAGAAACAATTCTGGGTGTTTCGCCATCACTCTTCGAACTACATTTGTCGGGGCAGTGAGATCCGAATGAACTGCCACAACACTCGCCATTGGTTTCACTCCACGTCACATTAATTAAAACTACTTGCCTAAATACTAACTAAAGTAACTTGCAAATATATGTTACTAAATTACCATATTTATGACTATGGCTAGGTAATTTCATAATAAAATTGGAATATTTTCATGTACGATTTAATTTGTTATATGTTTCAAACTCAGTAGATGTAACGTTCTCAAAACAAGAAAAATGCCAAAACACGTAGCCAATAACGGTGTAAGTTGTGTGGAAAACAATATATTATTTCCGGGATGCGTCGTAAAATCTCAAATACTAAAAGAGATCTTTTCTGTAGCAGCCGACGCAAAGAATTTTTCGGCTTCTGTACCTTTTCAAAATTAATATATTTATATACATATATAAATCCGTTGAATCATTATTACTTAATGACACACTATGTGGATACGCGGGTATCTGATGCAGAATAACTGTTTTAATAGGCGGTGATCAAAGGGGGCGTGGCCGACCACACCTATGCCGGTTCGTGGATGAAATCGATATTTTGTTCTGCATTTTGAAACCACACGCGTGTTTAATTGACATGAACTTCCAATTTTCTAAGAGTAGTTTAATAGTGTATGAAATCGTAAGATCGCATATTCTAAGTTAACTATAGTCTAGACAGGGTTTGGTGATTCGATTGCTGTGGCTGCAATCGTCTGCTTATTAAACAACGTTCAAAAAAGGTACTTATTGCCGTTTCATTGCCTGGTGCTTGGCATTAAGGAGGTAAAACAAGGAGTGGCTGACTCAGAGTCTGTATAATATGTTTGAGTGGGGTATCCAAAACTATCCATGTTAAAACAAAGGTGTGGTATATATGTCTCAGCATTGGACCATGTAACCAATAGTCTTCTAATGTAGAATATTAGTAACATTGTCCTGTGGTCTCATGAGTTAGCGCTATGAAACCGGTCTTGTTCGGCCTAGTACGACCAAGCGAAGAACGCCAAACACCATTTCGACCTCACCTCACCTCAATATATGTATATATGGGCCCAAGAATAAGATATATATCATGCTGGGAAGTGTAGTCTGACTCGCAAGGCAAATCGATTATTTGTCGTTCCGACTGATAGTATGCCAGTATTTGGAATTACTTAGAATATAACATTTGACCAGTTAGCAAATAAACGCCAGTGTGATAATTCCTAAACGCATTGTCTTCTTCGATTTTTAGCATGTCATATATACAATAAGAATTTGGTTCTCTAATATTATGGCTGTTTCCGTGATTAACAGGTACATGGAAGGCCAGGTTGGCATCTGAGTATCCTCAGAATAAAGGGAATCAATTAAGTGGAAGATGTGTGGGCTGAGATGCTGCTATAAGTCCATGGGGACAAAAAGAAGATATGTTGATTGACTACATTGTCATCCCTTCCTGGATTAAGGGATGAAGGTGTTGTGTAGGTCTGAAGCATGAATGCAACCGTTCTCAGGAACGAAAGATGACCCAGCTGTATTCAACACCTGAGGGATTGAACGATCATTGTGAAACACGTTTGAGGATGACAAACACCATTCGAACATTACAACCGTTTGGGTTGACACAGCGTACAGCATCTACCAGATGAGGCAAACTTTTGTTTGTTGTTTGAGGCCGCACTCAGCAATATTCCAGCTATATATGACGGCGGTCTGTAAATAATCGAGTTTGGACCAGACAATTCAGTTATTGACATCATGAGCATCGCCCCCACGCAATTGGGATACGATGACATGCATCTACTAAGTCAGCGAGCCTGACCACCCGATCCCGTTAGTCGCCTCTTACAACAAGCATAATCACCTTTTACGACAGAATGGGTTGCTGGATCTTCACGGGTCCTGTCATGAATGGACTTGATTGGCCAGAAGAGGGTCAAATGTGAGGAAGTGAAGACAACAATTTGATGGTTACCAGACTGTCCCAAAAGAAAGTGAAAAATAAATTAGGTCGCTGATATGGAAGTGAAGAAACAACTAGATGCCCCTGACAGGCAGGGAAGAGACGACTGGATGGTAACTGGATGCCCTGGGTAGGAAGTGAAGATACAACTGGATGATCACTGGATGCCCTTGGTAGGACGTGAAGAAACGACTGGATGCCCCTGGCAGGAAAGGAAGAGATGACTGGATGATCACTGGATGCCCTGGGTAGGAAGTGAAGAAACAACTGGATGATCACTGGATGCCCTGGGTAGGAAGCGAAGAAACAACTGGATGATCACTGGATGCCCTGGGTAGGAAGTGAAGAAACAACTGGTTGATCACTGGATGCCCTTGGCAGGAAGTGAAGAAGCAACTTGATGATCACTGGATGCCCTGGGTAGGAAGTGAAGAAACAACTGGTTGATCACTGGATGCCCTTGGCAGGAAGTGAAGAAGCAACTTGATGATCACTGGATGGCCTTGACCGGAAGTGAAGAAACAAATGGATTGTCACTGGATGCCCGTGTTAGGGAGTGAAGAGATAATGATTAGAGGAGGCCAATGACTGGAAGTGAAGAAACAACTAGATGATCACTGGATGGCCCTGACCGGAAGTGAAGAAACAAATGGATTGTCACTGGATGCCCGTCAGGAAGTGAAGAGACTTTGATTAGAGGAGGCCAATGACAGGGAGTGAAGAAACAACTAGATGGTCAGAGGACGCCCCTGACAGGGGATGATGAGATAATAGGCTGAAGGCTGTTGGATGGCACTGCCAGGAAGTGCAGACAGAATAGCTCGATGACCACTGAAGAGACCGCAATAGAATGTAAAGCCGCAAAATGTGATCCATGACAGGAAGCGAAGGGCAACTTGAACGACACCAGATTGTCCCTGCTGGTATTAATTGAAGGGACACAACTTGATGGTCAGAGTCGTGTCTTGTCATAATGTGAGATGGCAAATAGAGGGGGATTCGAAGGCTACTACTGGGAAACGCAGAGACAACAGCATATCTTCAGGGGAGGGTACTGCCTCGCAGTGGGGTGAACAGTTGTTGCAAGAAAGTGCATAGACAACTTGACTGCCACTAGATCCCACAGGTCTTTACGTGAAAAGATAAAGCTGAACCGTTGTTAGAGGATCCAGCAAGGAAATAAGGAAACTTCAAGTTGATTGTCACTTGTGGCTCCTGACAGGAAGTGAAATGACTTCAGATTGGTAGACACTGGAGGACCCAAACAGGAAGGAAAAGACTACAAGTTGATGGTAACTGGAGGGCCCCGACAGGAAGGGAAAAGACTACAAGTTGATGGTTACTGGAGGGCCCCAACAGGAAGGGAAAAGACTACAAGTTGATGGTTACTTGAGGCCCCAACAGGAAGGGAAAAGACTACAAGTTGATGGTTACTGGAGGCCCAAACAGGAAGGGAAAAGACTACAAGTTGATGGTAACTGGAGGGCCCCAACAGGAAGGGAAAAGACTACAAGTTGATGGTAACCGGAGGGCCCCGACAGGAAGGGAAAAGACTACAAGTTGATGGTTACTGGATGGCCCCGACAGGAAGGGAAAAGACTACAAGTTGATGGTGACTGGTGGCCCCGACAGGAAGGGAAAAGACTACAAGTTGATGGTTACTGGATGGCCCCAACAGGAAGGAAAAGACTACAAGTTGATGGTTACTGGAGGGCCCCAACAGGAAGGGAAAAGACTACAAGTTGATGGTTACTTGAGGGCCCCGACAGGAAGGGAAAAGACTACAAGTTGATGGTAACCGGAGGGCCCCGACAGGAAGGGAAAAGACTACAAGTTGATGGTGACTGGTGGCCCCGACAGGAAGGGAAAAGACTACAAGTTGATGGTGACTGGTGGCCCCGACAGGAAGGGAAAAGACTACAAGTTGATGGTTACTGGTGGCCCCAACAGGAAGGGAAAAGACTACAAGTTGATGGTTACTGGATGGCCCCGACAGGAAGGGAAAAGACTACAAGTTGATGGTGACTGGTGGCCCCGACAGGAAGGGAAAAGACTACAAGTTGATGGTTACTGGAGGGCCCCAACAGGAAGGAAAGGACTACAAGTTGATGGTTACTGGAGGGCCCCAACAGGAAGGGAAAAGACTACAAGTTGATGGTTACTTGAGGGCCCCGACAGGAAGGGAAAAGACTACAAGTTGATGGTAACCGGAGGGCCCCGACAGGAAGGGAAAAGACTACAAGTTGATGGTTACTGGATGGCCCCGACAGGAAGGGAAAAGACTACAAGTTGATGGTTACTGGAGGGCCCAACAGGAAGGGAAAAGACTACAAGTTGATGGTTACTGTAGGGCCCCAACAGGAAGGAAAAGACTACAAGTTGATGGTTACTGGAGGGCCCCAACAGGAAGGGAAAAGACTACAAGTTGATGGTTACTTGAGGGCCCCGACAGGAAGGGAAAAGACTACAAGTTGATGGTAACCGGAGGGCCCCGACAGGAAGGGAAAAGACTACAAGTTGATGGTGACTGGTGGCCCCGACAGGAAGGGAAAAGACTACAAGTTGATGGTGACTGGTGGCCCCGACAGGAAGGGAAAAGACTACAAGTTGATGGTTACTGGTGGCCCCGACAGGAAGGGAAAAGACTACAAGTTGATGGTTACTGGATGGCCCCGACAGGAAGGGAAAAGACTACAAGTTGATGGTGACTGGTGGCCCCGACAGGAAGGGAAAAGACTACAAGTTGATGGTTACTGGAGGGCCCCAACAGGAAGGAAAGGACTACAAGTTGATGGTTACTGGAGGGCCCCAACAGGAAGGGAAAAGACTACAAGTTGATGGTTACTTGAGGGCCCCGACAGGAAGGGAAAAGACTACAAGTTGATGGTAACCGGAGGGCCCCGACAGGAAGGGAAAAGACTACAAGTTGATGGTTACTGGATGGCCCCGACAGGAAGGGAAAAGACTACAAGTTGATGGTTACTGGAGGGCCCAACAGGAAGGGAAAAGACTACAAGTTGATGGTTACTGGAGGGCCCCAACAGGAAGGAAAAGACTACAAGTTGATGGTTACTGGAGGGCCCCAACAGGAAGGGAAAAGACTACAAG